ATTCTGCCTTTTCAATATTTCCTAGGATATTTCATTTTTCTGGGAGAGGGCTGGATGATAACTTCCCACATCAAGACAGGTGGACACACTTTTAAACAAAACAGTGGTTACAGATAGCTCTCTTTTTCACATTGCAGGAAAGTTCAGAAATGGCTCAGTGAGTTAACAAATGACTAGCTGATTTTGAGCCAGTCATTCCTTCTCTCAGCCAAGCCTATCTCACAGGACTGGAGTGGGGAAAATAGGAGGAGGAGGGATATTTGGAATGTTTGCTACATTACTTATACAAATAATGATGGAAAATAAATAAATAAATAAATGATTTTTCTGGAGGATGTTGTTTTTCTTTGTGGCAAGTCAGCTTCCCATTTTAAAAAGAAGTTTAAACATATTTTGAAGAATGTATAAATGTGGAGTAGATAAACAGCCAAGCAACTAGCGAGGTATATACAGGCATACATTGGCCATTGAGTGATACAAATGGGGACGTCAGATAATTGGTAGAGCATATAAATAAGTCATTAAATCATCATTCTTTATCTTCTTTCTTAATACTGAAAATCCACCTTTCTCAGCGGACCCTTTCTGCAAATTCAGACAGCTTATCAAAATAGTCAACATGAACAGTTTGTAGGAAAAATTATCACATGAGCTTATTTAAATAATTGGAAAATACAGTACAAATTAATTGTGTAGAAACAAGGTCCAATATTTTTATTTTCATTCTGAATTCTAAGGTACTGCTAGGGATAATGCAAGACGTGAACAGCAATTTCAGTGCCTCCAAATTTCCCACCCCCTACTTATTCCTTTGTTAATAGAATTTGTTTCTACTAAATAATAAAAGGTCTACTTATGTACTTATGCTACAAGTATGCAATTTTAAAATTTCTAGTTGTGGGAAATATGGGACATAACATTTGGGTACCTTATGATCAAACTGGTTTCTGTATGCTTTTCCTTCTAGACAAAACTTCTGTCTCACAGGGAATCCTCTCCTAGCCAGGAAGGTGAGTAGCCTCCCAACCAGAGGGGCAAATGTCCTCCCAACCAGCGTGGCCATGCAGCTTCCAGGCCAGGCAGGCGAGCCTCTTCCTGCCTAATGTGGCCATGCAGCCTCCCAGCCAAGGGGAAGAACATTCTCCCAGCCAGCACAGCCATATGGCTTCCCAGCCAGCGGGGAGAGCATTCTCCCAGCCAGAGCAGAAATGCAGATTCTTATCCAGGGGTGCGAGTGCCTTCCCGGCCTGTGTGGCCATGCATCTTCCCGGCCAGGTGGGTGAGCATCTTCCCGGCCAGTGCAGAAATGCAGCTTTTTATCCAGGGAGGTGAGTGCCCTCCCAACCAATGCTGTCATGTGGCTTCTCAACCAAGCAGGTGAGTGTTCTGCCGGCCAGGTAGGCGAGTGTCTTCCCAGCGAGTGCAGCCATGTGGCTTCTCAGCCTGGCTGACAAGCATCCTCCTGGCCAGGCAGGCGAGTGTCTTCTTGGCAAGCACAGCCAGCACGGCCAAGCATCTTCTCAGCTAGGCGGGCAAGCGTCTTACCAGCCAGTGCAGAAATGCAGCTTCTCATCTGGGGGGGAGGGGCGAGCGTCTTCCCAGCCAGCATGCCCATGCGGCTTCTCAGCCAGGCAGGTAAGTGTCCTCCTGGCCAGGCAGGTGAGCGTCTTCCCGGCCAGCACAGCCATGTGGCTTCATGGTTGGGGGAGGCAAGCATCCTCCCAGCCAGTGCAGCCATGAGGCTTCTCACCAGGGGGTAAGCCAAAGCGGCCATGTGGCATCTTGGCCAGGACGGTGAGCACCCTCTCGGCCAGTGTGGCTATGCAGCTTCTTAGCCAGATGGGCCAATGTCATTCTCAGCCAGGCAGGTGAGCGTCTTCCCGGCCAATGCGGCCATGCAGCTTCTCAGCCAAGGGGGCAAGCATCCTCCTGGCCAGTGCAGCCATGTGGCTTCTCTGCCAGGTGGGTGAGTGTCCTCTCAGACAGATGAGCAAGCATCTCTCCGGCCAGTGCAGCCATGTGGCTTCCTGGTCAGGGAGGTAAATGTCCTCCTGGCCAGCGCAACCATGTACCTTCCTGGTCAGGGGGAGGGCATTCTCCATGCAGCCTCTCAGCCAGGTGAGCAAGTGTCTTCCCAGCCAGGGCAGCCATGCAGCTTCCTGGCCAGGGGCGGCGAGTGTCCTCCCGGCCAGTGTGGCCATGTGGCTTCCCGGCCATGGGGGCAAGCAGCCTCTCAGCCAGGATGATGGGAGTGAAGTGGCTTGGTGGGGGGGAGCGATGGTAATGAAGTGATGGAGTGCAGTATCTAAGGTAGTGTTGGTGCCTGAAGGCACTCTCTTGGGCGGCCGGAGAGGCTCCCGAGGATGTGTGAAGCCCTGCTTGAGCTGCTTGGGAGTCCCAAAACTGCCACAGCCATCTCTGATTCCCAAGTGAGTCCCTCTATCCCGGGCCAATGGGGCACCACCCCCTCTCCCTCAATCAGCATCAAGAACCTAGTCAAAACCATTGTTTTGACTGGGCATATCAACATATCAACCTCATCTGAGGCGAGTGGCTGGGAGGGGCAAAGAGCGTGGCTAGGCATGGTTAGCTATCAGCTTGAATACCGAGTGAATAAGCAGGTTAAGTAATTGCTGGAGTGCAACCAATGGGATTTTGATGGCATTTCTCTACTGCAATAACACTTAACAGAACTTCAAATACACATATTCCATCCATCATTCAGGTTAAGACCTCCTGCAAGTACCAACTGCTGTCCACAGAACACACCCTTTGGTTTCTCTTATTAAGTATGACTGGTTTCCCCATCCCAGGTGTGCATAAACTGACAAAAATGAGGTATGAGGCCAACGAGAGAGAAAGAGAGAGAGATTAGGTGGTTTCGTGTCTACGGCATCTCTCTGTTTCTAGCCTGATGCCTTAACCACTAGCCCAATTTGACTCTTACTCATATTTCTTTGCAAATATGGCAAAGGCTGGTTAAGAAATCCTCTTTCATATGCGTTATCGCTGCGTGCAAATGTGTCAAATAGCAGCTTCCCTGTCTATCACTCGACCTTCTCTTTATTCTCTTTCAGCCCTACAGTCAATTAGAACGCTTGTGCCGAATATTGGCCATCCAGCTATCTCAGCCTGTCCCTCCGCAAAAATTTAGGTCTGGGAGAGTGCCCGATGTCTCATCACTAGATTGCACTGGTCCCGCTTTTCCTTCCTACACCCAGATCCTTGCAGTATTTCTGGTTGATGTACAGGAACTTCATGGTCCTACAATGTCCTATGATCCTCTTTTCCTATGAAATTTATTGAGCTTGTCTTTAAAACTCCTTCTTTATCGTGAATGGCCAAGCGATCAATCACTCGAGCTAAATCTCCTCCCTCTTCCGCATGACAGTTTGAAGTCACTGCGATGGCAGGGTTTTCACCAGCACAGATAGTGCCAGTACAGACTTGACCTTCAGAAAGTGGCCACACCTTCTTTCCGCTACCGTCATGATATCAGATTTCTGAGTGGTTGGTAATTTGGTCAATTACGATGAAAGGCGGGACATTTGGCATGTAGATGCCGGATGCGTTTTCTTCTTCCTGACTTGAACAGTGGTCGGGGCAAACGTGAGGATGATGGCGCCTCGGTGGGGAGTGCTGTGGGTTGTCTCGGTGGTTCTGGCAGGTAAGGTTCCAGGCTTGTTTTCATCAGAACGGGGGACTGGAAAAGTGGAGGCGGCGGTCCCATGAAGCTTAGTCGCCCTCCGGGCAAGGGGGAAGGCGGAAAGGTCAGACGCTGGATGTGGATGAAAACGGGAGAGGGCGAGCGTGATCAGTCATGGGAACCGGTGAGAAGGCGAAGCCGGCCTGCAGCAATTCGAAGCGTCGCAGAGTGTTTAAGGGGAGGCCCGGAGGGTGATTGGTAGCGAAAACTCGGGGGCCGATAGCCGAAAGAGACCGTTTTTTCTGAGTTGTCATCTCCAGAGTTGATGGCAGGAGATGATGGGAGTTGTGGCTCCTACTGGTCGGCCTGGATAAGGGCGGCGGCTGTGAGGGCGGCGACGGATGTTATAGTGGGATTGCTTTGCCGTGGTAATACTGCTGTTCTAAATTATGCAGTTGTTGGGCACATTTGGCGTTGGATTTGTTTATTGTCAATAAACTGAACTCTGTGTCATGGTGACTTTATTAATTTGTTTCGTACACATGAAAATAGATGCTGTTGCTTTGTCATTAGCTGCTGCTTCGTGCAATTCTTTGAAGCCATAGACTCTATATCTGTTTCGCAGCTTCTGTGGTTACAGTTTTGAATGCAAACAACGTGAGGAAAAAATTCCTGTACTAATTCCCACCCATTGAGAGATGGGTCTTATTTTAAAAGTTATCAAACCAAGCTGATTCTTGTAGATTATACATAGCAGTCTAAAATTATACTGATCAAGATTTAAATTATAATTTTTCCCAACAATCAAGCTTAAAAAAGAAATTTTCAATTAAGATACAACTCAGAAAGCAAATACAGTTGTTTCTCTATGTTGGATCAAGTGCTTTTACACTATGTTAGAGGACAACAATGTTTTAAATTAACAGATTAAATGTGGATAACCCGTGATTACCTTTTCTAAACACTTATAATAGTTTAGCAAGCTGAAGCTTTTAAGAATATAAAATGGGACTGGAACTCATAGTCTCCTGATTTCTAGCCTAGTGCCTTAGTCATTACAGCAAACTCTATTTTTTGTGGACACTCTGAAATGGAACCTTTACAAATTGAAATGACATATTAGCTAGCTAATATTTACTGATGCTGTGGTGTTGGTGTAAATTTGTTGGTGTAAATTAGTATCATAGAATCCCATGTGTTTATTGTCAATACTTATTCTGTGTAATACAGCTTTGGATGTAGTTTTGACCTCCCTCCAAGGTTAACATGGTCAAAATAACAACAATTCAATTATACCAACTGCAAGTTTGTGTGTGGAGTAAAAACATGATTCTGAAGGAAGATCCATTTTACACTCATAGCAGGTTAACAAGAATAAGAAAACTGAGCTTTGGGCCAAATCTTCCCCATTGAAGTATGTAAATTAGCATTTAAATTGCCAACATAGAACTAAAATTCTTAAACAAATATTAGAAGATTTTCTATATTTTGTCTATCCTAACCTATTTGTACTTTTTTGCAGATGATTAAAATGCTTGTGGCCAATGGTATTTTCTAATGAAATTAACGAAAGTGCTTTAGAGTAAATCTGAAATTGTTTTAAAAAATTCTATAATAAATTATACTATTTAGCCATGGATCCTTTTCTGAAATGCGTGATGTAGAAACCACTTGATAACTGGTCATTCAGTATGTTTATATATATATGGGTGCATTCTGCACCTTGAGTATATGTTTAGGAACATCTTGTGCGTAGATTATTTAAAATCATAACATTTACTGTAACTTTCTTCTTGTCTTTTCCTGTATCAGAATGCTGTAGTAGCATTTTGGAATCCGGGTGGGAATAGCAATTGTCATTGTTCTCTCAAATAGTTAAAATGTACACAGATATAAAATAAATAATTATTTTCCAGTAGACATTATTCTTTTAATGGCACTGTATTCAAGTTATTAAATAAATCACTGTAGTTGTTAAGTTAGTAACACAGTTGTAAACTTATCTGGCTTCCCCATTGATTTTGTTTGCCAGAAGGTTGCAAAAGGTGATCAGATGACCTCAGGACATTGCAACCATAATAAATATAAACCAATTGCCAAGTATCTGAATTTTAATCACATGACAATGGGGATGCTGAATGGTCTTAAGTGTGAAAAACAATCATAAATCACTTTTTTCAGTGCTGTTGCAACTTCAGATGGTCACTAAACAAATGGTTGTAAATTGAGGATTACCTGTTCTGCCTTATATATTTGTGGAAATGACTTTATCATATTGCATTCTTATTTCAGTTGTTTCTGCCAATGAATTCAGTGTATTAAGAACTCCTGAATCTGTTATATTTCGAGAAGGAAATTGGCCAATTCCTGGAGAACGAATTTCAGATGTGGCAGCCTTATCCATGGGCTTCTCTATTGAGGAAGTATGTGACTCATTACTGTATATCTCTTCAGCCACAGTATTCCTTGCCTTTTTTTTAAGTGATGCAGATCTGTGCACTATCTAGGGGAATTCAAAGTCAGATTATAAATTTATTTATAATTACCAGTATGTCCAACATGTTTACCAAAATCATGAATTGATGAATAGTACTGCATCTGTTCTTTTCATTTAAATAGTGTAATAAATTCATTAATACAGTTTCTAATGTCCCATATTAAGATACATAAATTCACCTAAAACATTTTTTTGAAAAATATATAATGTTTTATAAAAGAAAATTTGCATTGTTACAGGATCTCTCTTGGCCTGGGTTAGCAGTAGGTGATCTCTTTCGGCGTCCGCGAGCTACTGTTCTTGTTACTGTAACTGGGATAGACAAGCTAACAATGCCTAAGAATGGAATATCTTACCCGGTTGAAAATGTAAGTACATTATAGATTCTAGTGTATTAGTAGCAAAACTTCCATATAGAAGAACAAGGAAGTATGGTTTCGAGACTGCATGCTTTTGTTATGAGTTGGTGTACAGAAACAGAATGTAAATTTTGGAAGTCACATAGAAGATACTTTTTTTCTTTGAACATTTAGAATGTTCAGTAAATTTATACAGCAGTTCTTTCTAGAAGCTCTGTATGGAAATGATGTACTGGTAGAGGTTTCCATCTGAGAATGAGAATGTATAGAAATTTTCCCATTCTTTTCAGAAAGTAGCAGAAAGTAATTTTTTTTATCTTAATAATTAACATATTTTGCTTTCTTTTTCTTCCCACATGAATAAATTATTCGTGTACTGGGAGGAATATAGTAAATTATGCCATTTATATACTGAAGTGAAAAAAATCAATCTGGCAAATGGAAATATAATATATTGAGGTTAGATAACCTAGGGCCCTCCAGATGCTTTGCAGTTTCCAGGAATCCCAGCAAATTTACTTAATTGGGGTGGGGGGTGGGGTTAGGAACTGTAATTCAGAATCTTTGGAAAGTTCTCTATTGACTAATGCTGCAATAAATCAAAGGGAAAAAAAGCTAGACCGGAGGTATATATGAGCTAATGCCGATTTAAATAATAAATTTTTATTTGAGTAAAATTTCACTTTCTTCCTTTAAAGCAGGTGTTTTTAGATTATAGAATAATAATTACCTCTTAAATAGAAAGATCTATGTACAGTTAGAAGTAAAGCTTCATAAAAACACAGGTTTATGTAACTTGGACATGCTTTTTTCCATAATTTCTAACCACTTTAATCTGAATGTTAGTACTGTACACCTTAATTTGTATTACCTTATTTGAATATGCATTATTTCTCATTGGTTGTTCTTCAGTTTCATCAAAATAAATTGCTTGAAGATTCTGAAATCTTCTTTATTTTCCATGAAAGAAATGTTTGGCTAATCTTAAAAGATCCTAAGATAGCCCTAATTAAAATATAACTAATGTTTACTCTACTTACTTCAGAAAATTACGCCTTTATTCATTCTAGTCTGTAATGTAACCCATTACTTTTTAGAACTACATGGTTCTTCATTTTGGGGAAAGCTAGTAGTTACAAGCAATTGAAAGTCTTCCTAAATATATTTCATATTGATTTTTGTTTTTCTTGGGACAATACAGGTAGTCCTCAACTTACAACAGTTCATTTAATGACTGTTCAAAGTTACAATGGCACTGAAAAAAGTGACTTAGGACCATTTTTCACACTTTTTCACACCATTGCAGTATCCCCATGGTCACATGATTTACATTCAGATGCTTGACAGCTGACTCACATTTATGATGATCAGTGTCTTGTTATGATTGACTTTGAGAGTCAATGGGGAAACCAGATGTACTTAGCCATGTTACTAATATAAACTAATATAAATTGATTCACAACAAATGTGGCGAGAAAAGTTGTAAAATGGGGCAAAACTCACTGAACAAATTTCTCACTTAACATAAATTTTGGGCTCAAATGGGGTTGTAAGTCAAGGACTGCCTACACAGAAACAATAATATATGCTGAAAGTTATTATTTTCCTGTTTTCTATAGATTTCAATTTCTTTTATTTTAGGCAGTTCCCTTCAGCCTGGATGGGGTTGCAAATGCAATACATACTTTATTTTCTGAGGAAACGCCTGTAGTTGTCCAATTAGCTCCTAGTGAAGAAGTAAGTTCCATATTTTTTTTTACAAAATAATAAAAAAATATGACCTTTAAATGCTTCTGAGTAGAGATTGTTCTTAGAAATTTCAATATTAGGAGAGAGTTGAAGACTCTTTTAATAGTGCAAGATTATAATGCATAATGATGGTTCTTTCAGAGAGTTTATATGGTGGGAAAAGCAAATTCTGTATTTGAAGATCTTTCTGTCACACTGCGGCAGCTTCGGAACAGACTTTTCCAAGATAATTCCATTCTTGCTTCCCTTCCCCTCAACTCATTAAGCAGAAACAATGAGGTAAGGCAAGACTTATTCATATTGTCTTGCTTGACAACTATTTTAATTGATGTTATGTATGTTGCGGAATCCCATTTTGTCAAATCTATATTTTAGATAAGATCTGTTTCAGGACATGGAGTATTTATTAGTTTATTTCAGTTTCACATTTGCCTGTTTAACATTTTTATTGAGTTATAAAGTATTATAAAATACAAAATAAATAGAAAAGCAGTGGGAGTGGGGGAAAGGGAAAGAGAACTAAGGAAAGATAAGAAAAGAAAAGAAAAAGAAGCATTGATTTCCGACTATTTCTGTTACAGTAAAATAAGCCATTAACATCAAATCACAACTTTTTGCTTTTTCATAATAATATGAACAAGCCATTTCTATAAAGATCTAAAATTTGATCGGTAAAACCAAAGTCTGAGTTTCATTCTTTTCCACATAAGCACGAAGTTCAGAAGCGGTGTCCATACAGAAACAAAAGTATTTGTGTTCTTTAATCAAAGTGGTCAATTTTGCCATTTCAGTCAACTCCATCAACTTCTGCAACCATTCGCCCATAGTAGGAATTGAAGTGTCCTTCCATTTTTGGGCAGTTTTTGATAGGTAAACCATTGGGAAACATAACCTTCTAATTCAAGTTCTTATCTCGGATTTAATATTGGATCACCAGAGTTGAAAGATAAAATTTTACCGTACATCAACCAGTCTGGCTTTGCTATAATTTCTTTTCTAAAAAAGGCTTCCTGTGGTGACACACAAAGGGGCAACTTCGTTCAGAGCCTTATTTTATATTTCTTCCAAACTCTTAGTATGGCACATCTAACAAAATGTTTATTAAAATCAACATTAACTCTACTTTTATCATACCATAAGTAGCTGTGCTATGCAAATCTTAATGTATGGTCCTCTAGTTCAAGTAACCTCTTATCTGGAGGCTCACCCATTCTTTTGCCCAGGTCAAACAGCATGCATCAAAATACAATTTCATATCTGGTAGACCTACCCTCCCCCCTTTCCTTAGCATATTGCAGTAGCTTATATCTAATTCTTGGTTTTTTCCCTTGTCACATGAACTTAGAAATATCCTCCTGCCAGTGTTTAACTAGATTGTCAGTTGTAAGTATTGGTAACATCTGAAATTTAAAAAAGCCTCTTTGGTAAGAAATTTACAGAAATTCTACCCACTAATGATAAATGCAATTTATCCCATTTTTGTAAATCCCGTTTAATATCCCTCCAAAGAAGGACATAGTTATTTTGAAACAGTTTTATATTTGTATTTGTTAACATAACCCCTAGGTATTTCACCTTTTTCTCAACCCTAAAACCTGAGTTTTTATTCAATATATCACTATCCTGAGAAGACATATTCTTGATTAGCATTGTTTTCTGTTTATTTATTTTTTAACCTGCCAAATCCCCAAACTCATTCAGTTTCCTCATCAAGTATTCTATATTATTTTTGGGTCCTGTAAAAATATAACGAGATAATCAGTGAAGGCTGTCAATTTATAAATTTATTTCTTAATATTTATACCCCTTATTTTATCATCTTGTCTAATACTTCAATTCAGGATTTCAAAACCAAGATAAATAGCATAGGGAACAAAGGACATCCTTGTCATTTATCCTTTGGAATTTCGCATTAGTCAGTTAAATCACCATTTATGATAATTTTTGCATTCTGTGATGTGTAGCTCATTTTAATTCCTTGGATAAAATTAACTCCAAAGTCCATTTCTTCCAGCACCTTAAACATAAAAGCCCAATTTAGGTTGTCAAAGCCCTTCTCTGCATCTAAAAATATTAATACAGCCTGTTTTTCGTATGGTATTGTAAGTATTCAATAATATTTAAGGCAGTCCTCTAATTACCTCTTAGCTGTCTTTTCGGTAGAAAGCCTGTTTGGTCTTCACGTATAATATACCTGTAGAATCTTTTTTAGCCTTTCTGCCAGAATGGCAGCGAAGAGTTTTTAATCTTTATTTAATAATGAAATTGGTCTATAAGTCTTTGTAATATCTTGACTTTCCTTTTGAAGCAGCACAATATTGGCTTCTTTCTATGTCTTGGGTATATTTCCCATCTGTAGTATATCATTCATTGTGTCCGTTAGTGGTTGAAGAAGTTCATCCTTGAAGCACTTATAGCATTGACTTGTGAGACCATCTGGGCCTGGGGTTTTGCCTGGCCTCATTTTTTTTTATTTTTTTTTTGATAGCTTATGATACCTCAAAAGCAGTTATTGGATCGTTCACAGGTTGTCTCTAGGTTTGTGATAGTTTAAGTAACTGTTGTCTTAAAGGGTATTCATCTATTTTTAATATATCAAGCTTCTGTCTTTTATACAAATTTGAATAAAAATTATGAAATGACTTTTTAATGAGTTCATTGTCTGTTATTACATTATTGTCTTGCAAATTTTTCAATCATTGTCTTCTTTTTTTCCTTTTCTTAATTTATATGTCCACCATCTGCCTGGTTTATTTGCAAATTCAAAATATCTTTGTTTTGCATAGTTTAATTTTGTTTTTATTTCCTGTACAGTTAACATAGTTAATTGTTGCCGTAACAATTTAATATGGTATAAAATTATAGGATCCATAGATGTCTTTTGCAGCTGAATTTCTTTCTGTCTGATTTTGTCCAATATTCTTTGCATCTTTTCCTGGGATTTTTTTCTTCTCTAAGCAATTATACTATATAAAATAGCCCCTCATAACCACTTTACTAGCCTCCCATACTGTTGTTAAGTTTGTCCCTTTACTCAAATTATTCTCAAAGTATTCCTGCAGATTCTTTTTACAGTCTTTTACAATTTTTTATAAAATAGTTTCATTTAACCTCCATCTGAAACTCAAGCTTTTTCCTCTTAAAGCCAAAAGCACCATAAGGTCAGAGAAAGATTTAGGCAGAATGTCCACTTTCAAAATTTTATTTGCAAGATTTTAGTTATCCATATCATGTCAATCCTTGAAAAAGATGTATGTCTTTCTCTGGCATCTTCATTTGTATATCTCCATGAATCTATTAGTATTACATGTTCCAAAAATAAGGCCAAGCCTGATTTTTGGGGTGGGCCTAAATATATGCCCTCCCCTAAAAACAAGTCCTAGTGAAGGGGTGGATGTGGGCAGCACAGGAGGCAGCCCTTCCCTTCCCTGTCAGCTAATGGCAGCTGGGCCCCTTAATTCTGAACAGCAGATCAGCTGAACTGATAAGGCGCTGCCTCTCTCTTCCCAGAGTTCTTACCGTTTGCCCGCCTCCCATCCATCCATCCTCCTCACCTGCAAACTCCCACCCCGCTCACAAGAGAGCAGCTGCCCAGCACCTATTGTCACGTAGTGCCCACCCAGTGCCAGACCTCTCCCACTCGCAAAATGTGTTCACAGCTTCTGGTTGCCCCTTCCAGCCCACTTGACTTTCAAGCAAAATGGACCACCCCTGCTGTGCTCCTTTGTGCTTCCCCAAAGAGCTCTTCGGAGACCAAAAGTTGCTGTTGCCAGCCCAAGACGCCTTTTATAAGAGGTGGTTCAAATTTGGGACTGGGATGAGCTCAACGGAGGGGGCATGGATGGGTGCCTCCTACCATTCTTCCAACAAGTAGATTTCTTCACCAGGGAGAAGAACCGACTTGCAGGTTTCCCTCCCAGTCAGATAAAACCTTGCCCCAGCAGTGCGTGAGGCAAGCACCTTCAATGCCTTTCTGCCTCGCCCCTTCCCTGTCAGTGGCAGGCTTGTGGTCCCACGCTGAGGTGTTTCTCTCGGTTGAGGAGAGGCATCGAAAGTGAGCAGAAGCAGCGCTGGTGAGTGGAGGCTGGTGGGTGGGCGCAAATTCACAAGGGAAGCTGCCTTACTGACTTGTATGCAGCTGGAATCTCTTGGCGCTCCGCGGCCAGATAAAGGAACCCTCATGTGTCCCGAGCTTCACCACAAAGGGGTTAGTTTTCCCCAGCCCCATTGACCGGGCAGTGGGGGGGGGGAGCAGAAATTTTGCAAACTTGTTGAAAGGGGCGGGAATCTCAACTTTCATGAAGTTCCATCTCGGGAGCTGATGCATAAATGAAGGCTGGACCCTTTGTAGGATCAGAAGCTGCTTGGCAGGAATCACATGCCAGGTTAAGTCTTCTGCCATCACCATCGCTCGCTGCCTCCTCACCCAAAATAATAAGCCCCCCTTCCCCCAAATAAGCCCAAGCTCTTATTTCAGGGGTCAAAAGAAAATAAGACCTTGTCTTGTTTTCGGGAAAACACAGCAAATTATCATCATCTCAAAATCTTAGATAATTTACCCTGAGAGGGTTTAACCCTTTTGATGGATGTTCTATCCAAAACTGGTGTAGACAGTCATTTCCAAACCCCCAACATAAGTCAGTTTCCATATGAGAAAGGCAGTAACTGATCCATTAAATGAGCAAAAAATTTGCTTCTATCATCATTTGGCCTATACACGCCCACCACTATTGATTTTATTCCATTAAGTTCAATTTCCACTGCTACAAATCTACCATATTCATCTGCTACAAATAACTTAGGTTTGAATTGGGATTTCATATACAAAACAACTCCATTAAATTTTTTTACACCAGCTGATATAAATTCATCTCCTAGTCGTTTATTTATCAAATATTTCTTGTCTTGTTTCTTAATATGTGTTTCTTGAAGACAGACTATATCCAAATTAAGTTTCCTCAAATAGTGAGGAGTAGCGCTTAGATGGGGCATTTGCTCCATTAATATTTCACATGATAGACATGTTTAAGCACCATAATAGATTCCTGTACAACTATCTTGGCTACATCTTCTTCCTTTCTACTCCTCTCTGCCACATCTTCTTCAATGCCACCTTTGGGGTCTTGCTCAACCACTAGCTTCTTTTCTATACCCATTTCTCCACATGAATCTGGAATTAATTTATATCTTGTCAAAAAATTCTTAGCCTGCAGTATGCTGCAGCTGCCTAAAAAGCCTACACAGTTCTAGGCTGCATATACAAAGGGATGGAGTCAAGATCACGTGAAGTGTTAATACCACTTTATAATGGCTTGGAAAGGCCATACTTGGAATACTACATCCAGTTTTGGTCACCATAATGTAAAAAAGATGTTGAGAAGGAAAGAGTACAGAGAAGAGCAACAAAAATGATTAGGGGAGTAGAAGCTAAAACATATAAAGAACAGTTCTAAGTGAGGGGACACAAGTAGTGACAATGAGGAAAATATGAAAATACCGTATTTTTCAAAGTATAAGACACACTGGAATATAAGACGCACCAAGATTTTGAAGAGGTAAATTTTTTTAAAAAGTTTTTGCACTCTGCAGATCTCCTAAACACTCTGCATGCCTCATTTTTTGTGACAAACGGGACATGCAGAGAGTTTGAGAGGCCCGCAAAGCGCTCCTGGGGACCGGGGGAGGGAGGCAAAAATGAGCAAAAAAGGCCCATTTCCCCCCCCCCCCAAAAGGGGCATGCATAAACTTTAGGAGGCTTGTAGAGTGCTCCTGGGGGCTGGGGGGGAAACTAAAAAAAAAACCAGTCTATTTTTGCCCAAAAGGGGCATGCATAGCCTTTAGGAGGCTTGTAGAGTGCTCCTGGGAGGCTGGTGGGGAAGCAAAAAAAAAACCAGTCTATTTTTGGCTCGTTTTTGCCCTCCCCAGCCCCCAGGAGCACTTTGCAAGCCTCCCTAACCCTCTGTACATCCATTTTTGTGAAGGGAGCAGGGTTTTGGGAGGCCAAAAATGCTGTGTTCAGTTATAAGACGCACCCAGATTTCACCCTCTTTTGGGGGGGGGGGGAGGTGCATCTTATACTCCAAAAAATACGGTAATTTTAAGAAAAAGTCCTATTCTATTCTCTATGGAATTCACCTAAATCTTTGCTCATGGTATCAGTGGTGGGTTCCTACCTGTTCAGACTGGTTCAGCCGAACCAATAGTTGTTTGGTGGCCTGCGTCACTGGAACTGGCAGCGACCCAGGCCTTCCACGCCCCCAAACCAGTTTTCCGGGTGGCACTGTAGGTGGTGTCATCTTGTTTTTTGCTTCTGCGCATGCGCATAACAATTTTTATTGTAATGCACATGCGCACACAGCGCATCAAGCACGCGTGCGGCACGGTCACAAGCAAACTAGCAGTAGTGATTGCCGGAACCCCTGGTAAGTATCACCCCTTCTGATTTATCCCAACAGAATAATATTTTTCTCTGCTTCAGTTTATTTCAGTTTTACATTAAGTGATTCATTTGTTAAGAGAATGTATGGGTAAGTCCTGCATGTGCTATCCATGCTAAATTAATATCAGAATTGATTTTGAGTCTTTTTATTATAAATTGAAATGCTTTTTCAATTCGCCTTTTTGCATGTGTGCTTGTTTTTATGAAGACATGTTTATTTCATAGGTTGATCTCCTCTTCCTGTCAGAGTTGCAAGTTTTGCATGATATCACAAACTTAGTAAGTAAATTCTACAAACAAAATTCTACTATGTGGTTGACTGTGTATTTTCTGACTAATTATTCAGCTGGTTTAGAACATTTTAAATTAGAAACAATGGAGAATGTGTAGTTTACTGGCTAAACTGGCCTTCTTGATAAATTCCTGGAGAAGCAGAATATGGGATAAAAAGTATCGACATGTTCCAGCACTTTCACTAAAATGGAATGTCATGCTGCCATGATTCTAGCTCTTCAACGTTTGTATATAAAGGTATCTTTGACTTATGTCCATCCCTAATGGTCTGAATTAATGACCACCTGAGAAAGGGTGCTTTATGTCCTGTAGAGCAGTGTCACCAACCAGTGGTCCTCGAGAAAATGTTGGTGGTCCACAGAAAAATTATTTGCATATTTTATATTGCACTAAATACTATTTATCTTTTTTTAAAAATCATATTACTGATCTGCGGTATTTAAAATTATAAATTTAGGGGTCCCTGAGGTTCCAAAGGTTGGTAACCCCTGCTGTAGAGCACTTCTGACCACATGCAAAATGTCCTATCCACCTCCTCCACCACAGCATTGTGACCATGATCTAGGTGTTTAGCAACTTGTTTGTGCTTATGACTGGTTGTCTAGTGTCCTGCGAACATGTGATTCCATTTGCAATCTTTTTTGCTGCTTTCCCAGAAAGTCAGTGGGGAAGCCAGCAGAGAATGTGGCAAGCTGCTTCCATCTGCTAAGAGGCCTTTGTCTTGTCTCTTGGGGCTATACAAAAGGATCATGGCTTATGTTGTCCCAGTGCACCTGTCATTAACATCAACCATTAACATTAACTTCCATCCCATGTAGATGCATCTGTAGGATTCTAGAAAACCATTACTTAAAATAGCTAAAATGTTGCTTTCTAAAATTGAAATGACTACTTTTTACTTTGATATTCTTTTAATGATTGTATCTATTGCTTCCCAAGCTTTCTAGACACAAACATCTGGCCAAGGATCATTCACCAGATCTATATTCTCTAGAACTTTCTGGGTTGGAAGAAATAGGTAAAAGGTATGGGGAAGATTCACAGCAGTTCAAGGATGCTTCTCAGATTCTTGCAGACTCTCTGCAAAAGGTTGGTAGAGCAAAAATGCTGGTAAATAATGTTGCTTTTTCTTAACTTAGAATATAGAAACAGGTATGAATAGATTATGCAGTGATTTATTACTGATACCTGTTTGGTTTTTTTCAAATAAAATTTTCTTCAGCTTATAGTTGTTGGTCAAATAAAGATATACCATATTTTTCAGAGTATAAGACACACCTTTTTCCTCCTAAAAGAGGGTGAAAATTTGGGTCCATCTTATACACTTAATGTAGCCCCCACCCACACTCCGGCCCCAATGCATTGGCCTCTGCCTCTAATTTACCTCTTTGCAGCAAATGGGGCTTTCTGAGGCTTCAATAAATTATAGCAATCCCTGCAGCCTGTAACAGTTGGTGATTGGGAGAAATTGAAAGTGAAACTTGCTGTTTGCCCCACGTAGCAATTTGCTGGGAGGCAGATATTTTTTTCTTGTGCTAATCAGGCTGTTTGCTGCAAGCAGGTAAGTCAACAACTATAAACACCTATAGAATGCTCTAATTATTAGACTTATTTTTTAAAGACTGCTTTATTAATATTCTAGATAACTTAACAAAATGAAGAAGCTTTTTAAAATAAATACTTGATCTGAAGAGGCCCCATGCTATTGTTTTAAAAAGTGCTATTCTTTTAAATAGCAGAGAATAACTATACTTCCAGAAAGCACATCAATTTTAACAGCATCTGTACAAGTATAGTCTGAAATATACACTACAAACAGTGTATATTGTCTGTACTGTTTGTTGCAAGGAGGCAAATTGCTGAGACGCAGAGCCAAAATCTAGCTGTGTCTTATAATTCGGAGTGTCTTATACTCTGAAAAATAGGGGTCTTAATTCATTATTCAGTCATATAAGGTAATTCTTGAGGTATAACAGGCCACTTAACAAACATTTGAAATTATTACAGACCTCCAAAAGCTACATATGATCCTATTTCAAAATTATTGCAGCAGGCCTGCAGTTGTTTGCCCTTATGATTTACCACAAGGTTGCTGCAGTGTCCTTCCGCCTCTCTCCCCCAGGGTTCCCTTCTGGAACCCTGCAGCATTGCCTACTCTCCACATATCCATCATGTCCCACACTTGGCTTCTGAAGCTATCTGGAGTTCAGGCTGTGGAAGAGAACACGCCATGTGTCCATGGATTGCATGGCAGCAAACAAAATGCAACCATTTTCTCCTGCCCATTTGTGGACAGGGCAAAATGGAGAACACTAAAAAATGCTTTATCCTGCTGCTTTAGAGAGGTCTGCATAGTGCTGCAGAAACTTCTGAATGCTACAGAAAGTTTCTGCTGCAGACCTTGGTAAGGCAGCAGTTTGTCCTGAAGCTGTGTGATGGTGGCTCTACAGTGGTCCGCCATTTTACCCCGCCCATTTGTTGGGGGGGAGGGGAGAACCAACCTAGAACTGAGCAGAAATTTCCTGACAGAACAATCAATCAGTGAAGTTGTGGGTAATCTATCACTGCAGCTTTTTAAGAAGAGATTGGACAGCCATTTGTCTAAAATGGTATAAGGCATGAATATCAAACTCAATTGCCGGATTGTGATGTATCGCAAAGCTTTTTGCCTTTGTGAAGCGAGGATGGGTGTAGCCTGCTAGTGATGTATCCAGCCAGTGGGCCGCCAGTTTGACAGACCTGGTATATGGTTTTCTGCTTGAGCAGGGGGTTGGACTAGAAGACATTCAAGGTCCCTTCCAACTGTTATTCCAATATAATATTTTAGTTGTGTGCCCTTTCTCATTTGTATCTAATTTCAGCCGGCAAATTCTGAATTTTTGGCTCTTTCAGTTTGCAGATGAGATGTACAACATCTACAGTGGGAATGCAGTTGTAGAAGTGGTAACTGTGAAGACTTTTGATACTCCCTTTGTGAGAAAATCCAGATCTATTCTACAATCCTCAGAGGTTATACAAACTTTTGCATTTATTTTGATAGTTGGATAATAAATCTTTTTTTTAAAATCTCATGCCTTTTAGTGAAATAACTAAACAGAAAAATGCAGACTATTAATGATAACCTGTTTATGCTTTATTCTTTATTTTTTTGCCCCTTAGTACATAAGTCTTAGAATAAAACACAGTAGTTGTAAATGCACTTGAATATAGTCACTTGAGTCCAGAGTAATATAATGCAAAAGTTGAATAATTATTCAATTTGTCTATCATTTCCATTTTTGTGACTTAATGATTTGACATAATAATCTACAGCATTTTCTCTGAACCTCAGAAATTAGGAAAAACATTTGATTTACTGAAATTCTTTGTCACTAGATTTCCAAATTACTTCTGTGAAGTTTAAAGCAAATTTAAAAATAATCTAAAATCAAAGATTACCGATGAACCTATAAAATATACAAACATATCTTACTTTCCAAACATTTTTTTGGATTTATTCATTAGGTGAAACATCCCCTTAATCCCATGAATTTACTGGCATGTAAAGATTGCTTGTTTTTTTTATGTTGAAAGTACTTCAATAGGCCTGAACACTGGCCTAAATGCAATAGATTGATGTTCATCAGTGATAAATACTGTATAAAGTCTGAATCTGGATAGGAAAAAAATCAGATGCATTGGAACATTGTCACTTAGAGAAAGATCTAGGAATCCTGGTGGTCTACCAGTTGAGTGTGAGTAAGCAATGTGCTGCAATTGCTAAAAGGCCAATGCACTCTCAGGCTGCATTTATAGAAATGTTGCACCCAGATCACAGAAAGAAATGTTTCTGTGCTGTTTAGACCAGACATTATTCTATGACTAATGAGGGGCAGCTTGTTTTAAAATGGGCCTGAAAAAATTGGCGCAGGTTTAGGTGATATCGAAGGGTCTGGAAGCTAGTCTACATGAGGAACTGGATGTATTATACTTTCAAAAGATAATATTAAATGGAGATTTGACTGTGATATGCCCATGAGGCTGTCCATTATATCAGGGGTAGACTGTTCTCTGTTCAAGAGGCAGGACAATGACCAAAAGGTTGATATTAAAAGAAATTAGATTAATGCTGAACATTAGAATGAATTCCATAAGGGTAAAAGCTACTAACCAGTGGAACAATCTACCTAAGCAGTTGTATTCCTCCTCATTGGAAATTTTCATATTGGTGCTAGATAGCTACTGGTCAGGGATTATTTAGTAGATTCCTAATTTGGATTAAGATAAAGATTCTTCCAACTGATACTCAATAACTTAATAGGAACAAATTTACATTAATTGCACATAAATTGTACATTGTTTTACAATTAATTTTCTAGAATACTCCTTGTGTTTCTTTAGAGTGATTTATGATTTATTGTATATACTTTACTCATTCCTTTGTTCTCTCCTTGTTATAGAGCAAGCCTGAAAATCCATATAATCTGGGATATGCATATAACTTTAACTATGCTGTTGTCTTCAATATAATTTTCTGGATCATGCTTGGACTGGTGTTAGCTGTGATTGTTATCTCCTACAATCTGTGGAATATGGATCCAGGCTATGACAGCATTATTTATAGAATGACCAACCAGAAAATTAGAATGGATTAACCTTTCAATGCAAATCTAAGAGGAGAAATGCTTTTTCAGTATTCTAGCAGCATTCAATATGGACTCTTCATAGTGTGAATATTTTTATGAAGTATACATTTGTTTTGTGAGGATATATTAAATGGTAATGGTGGGTGTAGCCAATGTTCAGAGTTGAAAACAAGCAGTACTACACAACCATGAGCTAATTCCAATTAAAGTGTGCATTTTGCTGTAGGGGTGCTTCTTTATATTGCTTATGACTAAGCAATTGTTTTCTTACACTGAAAGTTTAGGATGTTTTCTTGAACTATGTTATAGATTAATAAAGTAATTCATGGGCTAAATATTTCAAATGTTAGGATTTTAATCCTATTAAGATTGATAATCCAATGTAAAAGTTTCTTTAAGCAGAAGTACCCTTTTAAAATACAACCTTGCTGTACCTATATGTATATTCACCCTAAATGTTTATTCAAAGTTACTGTGTTTCTTAAAATAATGAAATTACCTGAAAGAAGAGAAATACATATGGGTACATCTGTATTAATAATTGTAGGATCTTGTGGTATTTATGAGTAGTGAATTCTGATGAAAAATTCAGTTATATGTCATGTTCTTTTGTCACATGACCAGTTAACAAATGGTACATAGTGGCCTGTGTTCTGTACTTGACATGATGTATTTCAGTTCTTGACATACTCTGAAAAAAAACCAAAGAGGCTGATATTTGAGTGGAATGTTTTATTGGGCATCAAATGCTAGGTATAACCATATCACTGAAGATAGTATAGGCCTTGACTTCAAATAAATCTGCTTGCAGTGCAGAATTAATATTAAATAAATGTAATGGCTTGAGATGCTTGAAAGATTGTTGTTATGGTAACACTGCACAGATTCATTTACTGTAAGGAAATGAACAGATGTTCTACAGAGAATATAAAGTATTTTGTGTAGAAAGTCATCAAACATTCCATTTGTAACTGTACTTAATTAAATGTTATACTAGTGTATACATTAATAGTCTTTAATTTACAAGGTTTAATGCATTGGTATATTGATATTCAACTGCTATAATAGGGATATCCAACTTTCTTCTAGATCTTGTAGCTGGCACTATGAATATGCTAAGTCTTGGTTATTTATATTGTTCTAGTTAAACTGTCCAGGTGTATTTTCAGTTAATGTAAACACATATAGGTAAAAAAATTCACAACCATGCACATGATTGAAAATACTTGAATTCTAGTTCCAGTTGGGACAATCTTTCCTATTGTAAAAACAGATTTTGTTTTGTTTTGCTTTGCTTTAGCTATATGATCAGAATGGTGAATTATAATTTCTTTCTGATGAATTTGACCTCTTTAAAAAAAACACATTTCTGACAGTAGTCATTGGAAAAATGAGGCAGTTGGCCTGCAAATCTGAAATTAATCTGAAGCTTGAGAAAATAAATAATATTTAATCTTTAACGTATTTAAACAAGTTCCAATTGGAAAACTGGCGAGTAATGGATTGATGTAATAGTACTACTATTATATTAGTAACGTATAGTATTAAAAATAATACCATAGGCCACTAGCAATAATAGCATGATAGGGTCAAGAATTACATTGATTTCCCTGTAATAGTGTCAGTTTATAGATTGTTCATTACTGATATGAATAAAAATATTTGTTAAGAGGTGATGTCTATAGGTTCTAATAATTCATCTAAAACAGGTGTCAAACTCTCAGCATCCCATTGCCATCACGTGATGTATCGTGCTGTTTTTCCTCTGGAGCTGGGGTGGGTATGATGCATCTGGCACGCAGGCCACCAGTTAGACACCCTGATCTAGAGTGACAATGTTAAGATTTGAATGAGATTTGAATTAAAAGAAATACATATTTAAGCCACATGTGAAATGAATAATTTCAATACTAATAGAATTGATCAGTGTTAATATTGACCTTGGATATGACAAAACATCTACTTTAAAACTCTAAGCATAAACTATTTTTAGCTACTACAACAACTGAGAAAAGATCAGTTTGCCCTAACATTGTTGGTACATCTGACACCAAAATATTGTTAACTTGGGCTAAATTATAAAGGAACGTTTGAAAGAACAAGATGTACTCATTCATATTCAAGAACTTTAATTTTACAGTTGAAGTTTGAAGAACTTAATCAAATATTGTTCCTCTAAATATTAGTCCTATACTGTATTAGAATCTTTTGAAATGTCTGCTTCTGGTTGCGACTTTCAAATAATCATGCATGCATTATCGGATGTTTAATTTTTAAATTTCTGAATTATGTGATCTTTTATAACATATCTGTTGGTAGAATAATGAATAAGATCTTTTTTTAAAAAAATGTTCTTCTATATTCATACCCAGGTAATCGTAAAGTATGCCATGTATTTTCTGCACAATTATCCAATACTGAAATCCTTTTTCTCAATCCTTTGGGAAAAAAGTACTATTTAGTTCAAGAGGGTTTGTTCCTATATGTATGGAGAAAACTACAGCCCTTTACCTACTAGATACTATTTTTTAGGTTCAATCTATTGTTTGGAAAACAAAAAGAAATATATGTGATTACTGAGCCTATTGTTAACTTAAGTTTATTGGCTGTCCAACTGCAATGGATCCTTGGTTTCTTTCGGTTCAGAGTAAATATTTCAGTCTCTAAATAAATCCATGTTCTCTCTACAACTAGATTGCAGTTCTTTATGTGCTGGAAAGCAGCCCATTTAAACTTTGAGGCCTCCAAGTTGTAGTATTAAGAGAATAAAACATCTTTCATTTGTTCCATAATGCTGACTATAAAATGTATCCAAAATGAAAGGTTTTTTTTAAAATGTCTAGAACTTTTCCCCTTTATCATCAAATTATAAAGTATTCCATGTTGCTGTAGTTCAATTGAAAACAGAAAAAAAATTGGCTAGCATGGTTCTACTCCAAGATGGCATGCTAAGGGGTGGGGGAGATTTGTTTCTCCAGCTGATGAATAGCTGATTTTGCTGGCAAAGTGGGTTCTTTGGTAGCAGGCTGCCTGATTGAATGGGAGCAGCTTGGAGTGACCCAAGACAATTTTCAGATGACTGTGGACACTTCTGGGGAAAGGAATCCTGGAAGTTGCAATTCCTACTAGGAGCGGGGAGAGACGGGTCTCCATCTTCCCTCTCAGCTGTTTTTTTTTTTTTTTTTTTAAGGAGGCCTTGGTTTTTAACTGCAAGTTTTAAAGTTTTTTTCTCTTACTTATATTTTTAATTTTGAAAGTTAACTGACTGGTTGAAAACTGGTTTACTCTAACCAGGAGTGTCAGAACCAATTGCATCATGGGACATATCATGATATATCGGGATGTTTTTTTGCCTTTGAAGAGCCAAGCTGGGTGAGCGTGGCCTGTGCAGCAGTGGTGGGTTTCAAAAATCAGTTCTGTGGGCATGGCTTATTTTGTGGGCATGGCTTGGCAGTCATGTGACTGGGTGCGAGTGACTTGGTGATCGAAACTGAGTGATCGTGGCCAATTTAGCCATCCATTTTGCCAATTAAGCAGTCCATTAAACAATATGCAGCAGCCCCCTTTTCTTTTTAATACTGCATGAAGTTTTTGCTCTAGCTTTTTTCTTTACTGGTAAGGAGAGGTTGGCAATGCCTGGGAATTTCTCCTCTGTGTTAGAGGCACCAAAATGGCTGTTGGACTTACCTGAACTGCATGTTTAGAAGAAAGGCGTGGGAGGAGTAACCAATGGGTATTAACCCAGCCCTCTTGCCAGGAGACTGAGGTAATCTTTTGAGGCCACACCTACGGTTCTCCTCTGACCTCCTCAGATTAACCGATGGATCGTAGCAGAATCTGAAAGGAAGGACAAACAAGAACAGCCAACACATATCCTTCCCAACTGCTATAGCTGAATCTGGACTCGCTCAGGCCGCCTAGGTGCGAGGCACCCTGTACGGGGGGGAAGTGACTCCTCCCACACCTTTCTTCTAAACATGCAGTTCAGGTAAATCCAACTGCCAGTTTTCGAAGAGAAGGCGTGGGAGGAGTAACAGATGGGACATACCAAAGCTAAAT